GTCAATACTAGACGTTCATTAGACGTCAAAAAAAGACGTCGCCTGGCGTTACAAAACAACCCCTTCAGTGGACCAAAATTGGACATCCAAAAACTACATATTAAAGACGTCATTTCGACGTCACTTTGCGCAGTGGGTACAGATTCAATGAGCTTTCATTAAAATAATGGCTTGCTCTTGATTATTGACTCTAGGCACATTCTGTCCTGCATCTGGAGGAGCCAAATACCCATGTTCTTCTGCTCCCAGATGCTGAGAGGAGAGGCCCACCTCAGGTCTTCATTAGCAGATACAGGCAAGTAAGCCAACCTCACTAGATTAAGCTATTTTAAAATTGTAATTTGCTCTTTCCAACATACACCTTTAAGCAATATAATTCATTCAGACTCTGGTTTTCTGCAGTTATAATCCATATGATGGTACCAACGACAACCCAGATTTGGAGCTCCCATTGACTGCCGGAGCACATGTAGGTAAGGATAATGATAAAGGCTTTTATAATGGTGCCCTCACTATTCTGTAATACTGATCATAATTTAGTTTGCCCATCAAGACACTGATGCCTTATCATCTCTTGTTTTGCAGGTGAACTAGCAGATGCCCATAGAGGACGGGTCCCATCCACATTTGTGGATCCTGTTGTACAACCAACCATGTCCAGTATGCATCCTCCAGCAGTCAGCCCCCTATTCAGTAACTACTCCCAGGATCCCTGGTGCTTAAGAATGGACAGTCCTGTGAAGACTAACATGTCTGCCCCTAGTGCAGATATTCTTGATGTGGCCTTTGAAAATGACATAGTAGAAGCTAGTGCTGACACAGTGCCTTATCCCAGGAGGCTAACTGTCATCAAGCAGCTTACCAAAAGCATCATCATTAGCTGGGATCCACCCTTGGTGCCTGCTGGTTGGGGAGACATATTAAGCTACAACATCTATGTGGACAAAGAACTACGACTGAATGTGTCCTTTGGCTCACAGACAAAGGCTGTGCTGGAGCGCCTTGATGTCCAGCTGAAGACGTATCGCATCTCTGTGCAAAGTGTGACAGATAAGGGCACCTCAGACCAGTTGCGCTGTACCTTCCTAGTGGGGCGGGATGTGTGTGTGGCCCCCACCCAGCTAAAGGTGGAAAACATCACCTCTACCTCGGCCAACCTCATGTGGTTACCAAGCAACAGTAATTATGTGCATGCGGTATATTTGAATGGAGCTTATTGGCATCTGGTCAAGGCGGGAACTTACTCACTCTGCCTCGTCAACCTCCGACCAAACCAGAGCTACAGTGTAAAAGTGGAGTGTCACTCACCCCAAACACATTATGAGTTACCTCCACATCAGAGGGAACACAGGAATGCCAGCACCACCTTTACCACACTAATGGCAGGTAAGAAATGCTGCAGACGGCTCCTCTAAGTGGCTTTGTTGATTCAGACACCTGTACTTGTATCTGGCTTCTGTTAGAGTTCCTAGCCGGATATTAAAATGAGCGCTCAGTGATGCTTTTCCTGTCCTAAACACAGGGCCTCCTGAACCCCCAAGCAATGTGCGGTTGCAGATCGGTCCATCCCCAGGCATTGCTCTCGTTAAATGGCTGCCTGTCTTGGTTGATGCAGCTGGGACTTCTAACAATGTGCATGTAACAGGATATACCATTTATGCAGACAAACAAAAAGTAAGAATATTTAAGAGCCGTATCCATCATACATCCATCCAACCATTTTCCAGACTTACATCTTCTAGGTATAGTGAGGGTATTAGCAGAAGATTTTTAAAGGGGACTTCACCTCAAACTGATGGCTGGGCTGGCAAAAGTTATTGTGAGGGACCAAGTCACTCAGCAAAATTCATGGTGGGGCTGTGGGGGAGAAATTTAATTCCACTCCAACCCTGTCTTATGCCATCAGCAGATTTTTTTTTTTTTACTGTAAATTAAAAACCCGAGGCCTCATTTATCAAAGTTGCATACCAACACCCAAAATGTGTGTATGGAATTTATCAAACAAAACGTGACAGGAAAACCGTGTGTATTTACAGAAACTCAGGGGCAGGCATATGCAACATTTTGGACAAATCAGGAAAAGGCATCAGCCTTTGTAAAGCAGGGAACTGCAGATAAACAGAACATGCCAGCATCACCAACAGGTGGCGACACCAGGATCAAGCTAGTGAGCATGTACAGTATGTCATGCAATAAGGGAACAGCTGAACCACTAATCTTTTCTTACTGAACTTTATTAAACTCGACCACTCTCTACATAATACACTAAGCCATCATCCATACACTTGGCAACCAACACCTACCATTGCACCTCCATGCCACCCACCATAAAAAGATTCAGTTTTGTATGAATGTTCATGGGCAGATTTCCCAACAAATCATATACAGTAGAATCATGGAACTTGACATTGAACAGGCCTGTCAATTTTTTTTTCGACCGAAATGTTGGAACTTGACTGTTCCTTCTAAAACTTGTATGGGTCGAGACACGTTTAACTCTACGAATTCGGTCCTCAACCAGGTCAGTTGAGAAAAATCTAGCCACAACTTGACCAAAAACTCAGAACATGCAAAACAAAACAGACCTGCTAAAACTTGGGCTGGTGCAAACAAAAAGGATTTTAGTTTGATTTTGAAATCAGAGGCCGAGATCGACTGACGAATAGCAGTAGGGAGGGAGATCCGGGGAGCTAAACAAGAAAATGCGCAGTTACTATAGCTGTGGAATTTGGAGGAGGGGCTGAGGAGAGAGCCAGAAGGGGGAATCTAAGACTGTTCAGAATGATATGACAGGGTTTGATTGTTAAGAGCTTTGAATGTTAGAAGAAGTATTTAAAAGTATGTGTTCTAATATAGGGAGCCAGTGAAGGCTCTGAAGTATGACGTGTTGGTAGGAGCGAGTGTGGGTGAGGCAGCGAGCGGCAGAGTTCTGGACTATCTGGAGTTTATGGAGAGATTTAGCATTAATACAAGCAGGTGGTGTGTTGTAGCAATCAAGATGGCTAGCGAATGAGGGACTCAAAGCCATGCAACATTGTGAAGAAGGAAGCAAGCTGTTTTCAATATGGAATATATGTGTGCTTCGTATGAGAGGGCTGAGTCACAAGTAACACCAAGGCTGCAAACTGGAGGAGAAGGGGAGATGGTGCATGTGGTCCAAATGGAGGGTAACCAGTCTAATTTTATTGAGAGTGTGGATTTTGTGTGGATTTTGACCCAATAATTAATTATAAATATAATATCTAGCTATTATAATGGAGAATTTGCCAGGTAGTAGAAAACGCTTCTCTGCAGAGGAAACAGCTTTTAAAGGGAATGGGAGATGACACTGTGATTGGTGTTTTTACCATATTATGTCTCAAACACACCTATAACTAATTAGGAGTTAGGTAGAATCCTTTAGGGGCCTGATGCTAGGATTATTTTTCCACCATGAAACTAGCAAAAGTGGGTTGGCCACACCGTAAAAGAACTTGTGTCATGTGCTTCAGACCCTGTGCTTCAGACTGTTAAAATAGGGCCCAAGAGTTTCTTATTTATTCGCATCAACTATTGGGAGACAGACTAGGCTGGTTTGCTTACTTGTAGAAAATTGAGACTAAATAACAAAATACTTTCCAATATTTTTTTAATTTAAGATTTATTAAAGGTATCCAGCATAAACACTTTGTAGTTAATATTGTAGCCGTCAAGTAGTGCAACAGGTTGGACTGGAGCCAGCCATCTATTGTGCTGTTAGTGTGCTTAGTGTAATGTTGTGTGTAGTGTTTAATGCTACGAGTTATAAATAGTGGTGTGCGTGTGCCCACCGTGTGTTGCCGGAGTGATCAGGATGGTCAGCACGGTGGCCAGTCTGTCTCGGGACCCCTTGGAGTTTGTTGTTTGTGTTTGGTCCTTTTAAAGGCTGCAAATGAGGAGCACTTCAGTGCAAGCAAAGCTGCCTCATCTGCTTGTTGCCGCCGTGTTGCCTGGGCCTGCCGGTTGTTACAATATAATCAGTATAACAATCAAAACACTGATTTCCATTTTATACTGTAGGAGCACAGTATTGTGATCAATGCTAAAATCCATGATTCAAATTGTGGAGTAGATATTATTTGATATTGTAAATTGTGACAGAATTGAGACTTTAGTTAATTTACTAGGCTTCAGGTGACCCAGCAAAGACAGAGGAACTATATCAGCCTTTGCGATGAGAACTACAGCTTCATATCAAAATGTAAGGAAGATTTCGGGACTCCAGTGACTGGGCCAATGCTGGCTATTATCATCATACACGGTTTGGACTACAGAGGAGAGCCTTTAATAAGAACTGGTACACCACTCATTTTCCTCTTGTCTGCTTGTAAAGCAAGAAATTAGAAACAACAATGACACTTCAATTAGTTATGGCTTCTGAAACTGGAATGGGTTTCTGAGTCAACCAGAGAACATGAAAAATGTACTCTGCATAAAACCACCATAATGTTTTGAAACAGTTACTGAACCACTCAAACACAGGGAGATAATGTTGTGTTACTGCAAACTACCAGTATAGGTGAAATAAGAGAGAGCAGTACCTGCAGCAGATTGCAGCAGTAACTTCATTCCTAGGGAGGCAAAGCATAGCATTTTACGGGTATAATGAACAGGAGTCCGAATTATAAACTTTTTTGATGTACTAGAAATTGTTCATTTATTTTCACTGCATCTTTTGTCGACTGCCAAAAGTTTTCAGATCTACAAAAACATCTTTGTTTTAATCAGAATAAGCTTGTTCAACCGTTCCCAAAACTTTGTCAGGTCATGTCAGGTCAGTCATTGCTATTCTTGAAAATTATGTACCAATTTTCCAATGCCTTCATACAGTTCAAACACCTGTGCCTATAGGGTTCTAGCCAAAATTTGGCAGGTTTATAATGATCTTCAGCCCCGGAAAAAATTAAGAGATCACAGCACAGTATTTTGTTTCACTAATTTCTTAATTTATGGGTGTGCGTGTGTGATTAAATTTTTTTTTATTTTTTTTGCAAAATTCAGCCTGATTGTTCTCCATTTCTTATTAATGAAAGACTTCTTCCTTGCTAACCCTAGCAGTGCACTTCACACCTGCACTTAATGTTTCCTGTTCCTTTTGAAGTTCACTTGATGTCATCCTACAATTCATGAGAAACTGTTGGATAAGTTAACAGTCATCTCTGACATTAGAAAGTTGCTTCCACCCTTTACCTGGCTGGTTTCTGGTCATTCCCAGAGTCTCCTCAAATTGCTCTTGGGTACTACTGTCTTAGAAATTTTGAACCTGGAAGCAACCTGCTGCTCAGCATACCCTTCTGCCAGCAGAAGACCAATTAAACCAGTATTTAGAAATGCTAATTATTTTATATTTATATATATATATATATATATATAGAGAGAGAGTGGTCTCTTCATTTTTTCCATGGCTGTATACACTGGTAATAGGGGTGGGCAATATGGTGATATTTTATTGTAACTGGTTACAAATGTGACCACCATGTCCATTTCAGAGGTATCACAAGAATCGTGATACAGCACTACATTTACATATAATCATGTAATTTAGCCAATGCTTTTGTCCAAAGCTACATAAGAGTAAGCCAAATAGCACATTCCAAGCATATGAGCTGCCGAGAATTCGACAAGGTTAAGAAGAGCTAAGCTGAGCTTCCACTGAATGCTCTGCTGCTAGTATACTATTAACACTATTATTATAATAATAGAACAAACTGGCAAGTGCCTATTATGCAATACTAAATTACAAAGCAATTTCAGCGTGCATAACATCTCAGCACCTGAAATACACCGATTGTCTGGCTATGCACATTTTTATGAGCACATTGTTCTCCGCTGCAGTGTCGTACATGTGACCTGAACAAAACCAGAAGCAAACATTTCTTACCGATGCAAAAGATTCAAAATACACATTTATTACTTAATTCTTTTATTTATCGTTAAATTTTTGTATTTACATACCTTAATAATTAATTATGATGCTACCAGCAGTGTTTCTTGTAAGGATCAACTTGCTAGATAAATGATTAATTGTTTATTAAACATTTATTTACAGAAACTATTACCAGACTTTGCAGCCAGAAAGGTTTTTTTTGCATGTAGTTCATTTGCATTGGTTATTTACGGTTACTTGTGCATGGTAAAAGGGCAGGATCTCATGCACAAACACATTTACAAGATTTGTCAAGGGCAAATTGCATACATATGTGTATGTACCAGGTTTAATAAACCAGATATTTTTATTTGCGTGTATGCAGTTTTCTGTTTTCGTTTGTACAATGAACTTTATGCAACATTTGACAAATGAGGCCCCTGCAGCATTTTCTGACCCCCATATGAACACCACTTACAGGTATTCCTGGTAGTGCTTTGCCAGTCAGCCTTTAGAAATTGTATTTATTTAAAATTCTTTCCTAGTTTTATTTTTCACCCTCAGTTTTCTTGAGTTCTCTTGTGCTACAAAATGGTAAATTGTAAATGAGAATTGGATGAAACTATTGACTGTTAGCTACATGCTATCTCATGTGAGAAAACACAGGCCTATGGTTTTTCAGGTCATGGAGGTTTCCTCCCCAACAACCAGTAGCGTGTTGCTGGGTCAGTCTCAGATCCACCTCCTGGAAAGTGCATATGAATTGACGGTGCGGACCATGTCTCCCCTTGGGGAATCTGCTGACTCAGTGCCTGCTCAGGTCTTGCCAGAGCTTCTTTCAGCCATCAGACATGGGGTATCTCTGGATCCAAACTTGGAAATGCCTGTAAGAAATGTGTCCACGCTCCTTCGGAACCCACCACTAGGAGCCCCTGCCAATTCCTTGGATCAAGCCTCAATGATCCACGGAGAGAGTGGTATCATGCCAGAGGTACATCATCATGTGAACTGGTTTCTTATCATACTCCTCACTTCCTATTTAATACTGTATTTTCAGTCTAATTAGTTGGATATGGACACTATTCTACTGAATATCAAAAGATATAAAGCGCATGTACTGCCTGGACAAAAGTAAGTGGACACCATACCATGCATGTCGAATATGGAGTTGCTGCTATAATAGCCCCCACACCTCTGGCAAGGCTTACCACTGGATTTTTGAGTGTGGTTATGGGAATGTGAGCCCATTCAGCCACAGGAGCATTAGTAGGTCAGGCACTGATGTTGTGGTCAGAAGGTCTGAATCACAGTCGGCTTTTCAATTCATCGCAGAGTGTTCAGTGGAATTGAGGTCAGGGCTCTGTGCAGGCCAGTCAAGTTCTTCCATATCAATGTCGCAAAACTATGAATTTACGGCTCCTGCTTTGTGCACAGGGGCACAGTAATACTGGAACAGGAAATGACCTTCCTCAAACTCTTGTCACAAAGTTGGAAGCACACAGTTGGCTAAAATGTCTTTGACCACTGACGAATTAAGGTCACCCTTCACTAGAGCTAAAGGGCCTAAACCAAACTCTGCCCTAAATCAATATGCCCCGTCTACCAAACTTTATATTTTGGCACTATTTACTGAGATAGGTAGTGTTCTCCTGGCATCTGCCAAACCCAAATTTATCTGTCACAGCATCAAATAGTGAAGCCTGATTCTTCACTCTTGTCTTGATACATTTCCACTGCTCCACAGTCCAATGGCAACGTACTTTACACTAGTCGAGTCAATGCTTGGTGTATTTGCTAGTTTCAAACTGAGGAAAGGCAATTTTTACATGCCCCGCACTTCAGCGCTTTGTCATCCCTCTCTGTCTGCTTGTATGGCCAACCTCTTTGGTGTTGTACTGTGATTGCTTCTAAACACTTCTGCTTTACAAAGACAGTTCTTGACTGGAGCAAGTTGACACATGGAAGAAATTTGATGGACTAGTTTGTTGCAACAGTGGCATCCTGCGATGGTACCATGTTCAAAGTCACTGAGCTCTTCAGTTTGACACATTCCAATATCAAGGTCTATCTATGGAGATTTTCATAACTGTGTGCTTCATTTTATGTTCATTTTAGCAATGGGCTTAGCTAAAAAAAACTAAACTGAATAATTGGAAGGGGTGTCCACCTACTTTTGAACAGGTGATGTAATTTACATGACCTGGAATTTTGTTAATGTTGTTGCATTTGGAATAAAAACCTGCATCTGTGATAAATATATAAAACAGATGTATGGTATGAGGCATGATAAACACATGGTAAACTGGATGGCAGTCAATGAAAGCAATTGTATTCTCAGGTAATGAAATTTGTAAACAAACAAACATATATATATATATATATACACACACACGCTGCTTACTCAATGAAACTTGAAATCTCAATAGAAGTCATAAAAAATAAAAAAAATAAAAAGACTAGACAGTCATGGAGGTTTTTTTGTTTTTAGTATAGAAATTCATTTGAGGTTTGCTCAAACAGCTGTAGGCCTTCAGGACTATTTTTACATTTATTATTGTATTAAGTCATTTTACATTTAATTCTTACATAATGTCTTTTGTTATATTAATATAAGGTCATAATCATTGTTTATCTGTCTGTGTTCAATAATTAGTCTTATAGTGTGTATCACCCCATGGCTGCAGGGCAGTGCCAAGCCTTTGCCCCCTACTATTGGAGAACCTTTGAAATCATCCAAGAACCAAGGAAGTCAGCGGTTGAACCATCTTTCGGAGACCTCGGACCAAATTATGCACATCACCCAAGCCAACACAAGCTGTTCCACACAACTGTCTGCAGAACACATTTCTCTGAAGGTAGGCTCCCTCATCTCACCATGCACCCATCTGGAGGCAGTGTTTGTATGGGAAGATCAGGTGTTGGTACTGCCCTGGCTATTCCGTGCTAGCAGATTGTACTTTGCTTCACTAAGAGAAAAACAAAGAGGTGGCGGTACTGTGTACTGGTCAGTACTGGCTCACTGCCTGTAGGTCATCTTACACAAGGATCCACTAGTGAGTGCATGGTGTTTTGTGAGATGCTGATGGTTTCATGATGTCAGATTAACAGTCACTGGACTCTGTGGACTGCTTCTTGTCACTTAATCGTTTAATTGTCTGGCAAAAATTGCCAAGAATCCCTTGAAAGACAAAGCTCTACTAGATCACTTTTGCTTTACCATGGATACTTATTCATGTCTTAAAGTATTTCCTTTGTTTCATTTGGTTGCGTTAAATGTAATGATGCAAATATGGATAAACCCTTACTAGTTTAGAATTGTATATTATTAAAACCTTGCATCAACTATAATGCTGATTTTGAATTTGAAAACTGGAAAAAATATAAAGGTCAACTTTGTTTAGAGCAGGGGGTTTTCAACCAGGGGTATACTACGCCCCCCAGGGGTCCACAGAGCAGCTGCCGAGGGTGTACAGAAACGTATCATCGAAATGTCAGTTTAATCATCCAGAAAGCTCTGTATAATCTCCCAATTTACACAACATAAAAAATATTCAAAGACTAAGCAAAACATATTACAAGTATTAATTCTTAGTCACTTATGTGATATACTGTAGCATTAGTTGGAGAGGGTCTGTAGCTGCGGTGTGTTTTCATTTAAGAAAGGCTGCAAACCCTTGTACAGCCTCATTGGCTTCTTTGCATCATGAAAATCACTATTGACTCAGTCTTCTAAAAGAGAACACCAGAGCGGCAAAATGCAGATGCCCCCTCTCCCGGACATCCAGGAAGAGGAGGAACCCTACTCTGACAACCCAGAGTCTGGTGGAGCTAGTTGCAAGGTAAATAACTACAATGTGGTTTATTTTTGCCAGATCAGTCTTCCGTTTTTTAATACCCATTTATTCAGTAATAGTTATGGTGATCCAGAACCTACATTAATAAAAAATTGACATGTCTTTAAAGTTGTAGCTCTTTGCAATAATCTGATTGTTACCATCTTTTGTAGGCCCTAGTATTTTATGAGAGCAGTTCCATTTGCTCAATACTGCATCCGTTATTCTAAGGCAAGACCTAGTTGCAAGTTCACATTCTTAACCATGCTTGGTTGTAATGCGGCTCAGTGGGTGAGGCCTTGGTGCCAGTGATTGGAGTGTCGCTGGCTGAAATCCCCTCCTTGGCATAATAGCCACATCTCTGCTGGAGCCTTAAGTAAGGTCTTAAACCCCTGAAACATGTTCCAGGTGAACCTTTTTAATGGCTGACCCTTCCGTCTCACCTGTATGAGTATGCATGCTTCAGAGAAGAGCAAGATGGGATATGCAAAAACTAAAAAATAATTCCAATGTACTTGCACAAATGGCAAATAAAAGATTCCTACTAATCTTACACAACAGTTGCTTTCATATTTCAGCTGCATATACTGTACTACTCAGTAATATTCTGCTTTAAGTTATTCTGCTAACTACACAGTTATGATAACCTACTTGTTTTAAAATTGTGAAATAAGAAATAAGATACATTTTTAATTGCTTTATATGTAGTAATTCATTATTGCTGGGGTGTCCTGCTCATTAGAGTTCAGTCCTAATTAATAATCGTAGTATTTGCAGGTATTTCTGTTGATATATTTGAAATTAAAATTTAATATACTTAAAGAAAATATTCCCAAGAAGAATATTGTACTTCTGAGTCTGTAGGTGGCAGCAATGTGTTTTATTATTTTGAAGATGCAAGATTTGTATTCCACAAAGTAGAGGCATCTTTTTTTTTTTGCTAATTTTTAGGTAACACTTTACTTGACGGGCACAAATAATATAGTATTATACAATTACATATGTATTAATTAACCGCAAACTAAGTCTTAGTTACATACTGATCTCATGTTAATTCATCATTAATGAATCATGATGCATGTTTTATCTCCATAAGTTACTGTATTTGTTACTATGTTAATTCTGTAAACCTTTGTGAACTACTGAAGGAATTACTGAAGGAACAAGTAATGAATAACACAAGTGAAATACTATTCTCATGTTTGTTCATCATTAATGAATTGTGACATCTTTTATCTGCAGTAGCAAATATATTTGTTCATGATTTGTTCATAATTTGTACTATACTAACAATAGTAACTGAGTTATTACGAAGGGTACCGCAGGGTTCAATTTTAGGACCACTTTTGTTCCTAATTTACATAAATGATATAGACACCAGTATATACAGTAAACTGGTGAAATTTGCAGATGACACCAAGGTGGGTGGTGTAGCA